TCAATAAAAAATGTAAAAAAAAAAAAGAAATCCCAAACACTAGGCTTTTATTTCATGCACCTAGTCTACCACTTCAGGTATTTTGAAAAGGCTTGGGTTAAACATGCTTTAAGTGTTCAGTGTGTTATATTTATACTAATTGAAGCAAAAAAAGAGGAAAACTATCAAATGGTCATTTTAAAAAATATAAATGCTTAGAATAATTGTTTAGTTGTGGTACCCATCCTTGGGCTTTTGTAGGGATGTGTTTTGTGGATGATTGCTGTGGTTTTACTGACATTGCCAGAAGATGGCACCAAATCTTCATTCTTTTAACAGTTATCCTACCCTTAGTTATTCTTCAGTAACTTTGCATTAACCAGTTATTTCAGGGTTGTGTCCATAGAGAGTAAATATGGGCTATATGTTATATATTCTGAGGTCTCACTTTTCAAAATTGCATTTTAATTGCTTTACTGGGACAACTACTGGTAACATGAAGATATTTCCATTTTTTCAACACATCATTATCTTGACTTTCTCCATGTCTTTCTTTAGTTCTTTGAGCATCTTTAAGACAGTAATCTTCGTCCAATAGGTCTGCCATCTGGTCTTTCTCCAGTATAGTTTTTGTTGATTAATTTTTTCCTTTGAATGGGCCATACTTTCCTGTTTATTTGTATGCCTTATGATTTTTTATTGAGAAGTGGGCATATGAATCTTATAGTGTGATAACTGGAAATCAAATTCCCCCCTTCTGTGCCTTTCCCTGGGCATATGCTGTGATTTCCTAAATTCTGTGTAGGTGGTTGCTTTTACATGTCCTAGGCCTTAAATGTCTGGCTCCAAAAGTGGGGAAAAAAGAAGGTACGGGCACTTTAAATCCCCTAGAACTCATTTCAGTCAGTGGGGGAAGTACTCGCAACAATGTAGGTGGGCAGGGTGAATAATGGCTGCCTGCCTCTGTGTTTGTACCTCCACAAGCAGAAGCTGCTATCAGCGATCAGAAGCCGATCCTTGATACTTGGAAGCCAGGGTCCTTATTGCCCACCCTGCTTCTACAAACTGCCTGCAAATTGCTCCAGGAATACCTGCATGGCTGTCTGAAATGGTGCTGAATTGGGGGGTGCGGGGGCATGGATAACCCCTGCTAAACTAAGGGCTTAAACTGACTGAACTTAACTGCACTTTACCTTCCAAGCATTCCCCTGGAAGTTTCATGCCTTTGAACAGACTCCAGATTTCTAAAATAATTTCATCAGCTAGATTCTGGCAGTGCAAGTTTTATTCAGGTAGAGAGATGGATTCCTGGTGCTCCCTACTCTGCCATCTTCCCAGAATCATCCTACTTCCTAGATGTTTTTCTTTCATCCAAAATATCGTTTAATACCTTTTTTCTTTTTCAGGGTTCGGTGAACAGGAGATGTGTGTCTTTGCCCCATAATATCTATAAGATGTGCCATACATTATAAGATGAGCATGTAAATGAATATATGATTATAGATGATGATAAATGCTATGAAAAAAATTCATGGACTGGGATTTTATCCTAGAATAATTTCCTACGTCCAAATTTCTATAAGCACATACTTCCTCTGAAGTCTCTTCTTGTTTTAATCCTTCCCTTCTATCTATGCTATTTAGTAATTCTTTTTGTGTCTATCACATAAGTTCAGGCAACTATCATTTTGAATTTTATTAAGCGCTAAACTTGATTTTTTTTTCCTCTTCCAATGAACACATACCAGATTTGGCCGCACCCCAGTGCAAGAAAGACTCAGCTGCCTGGCCAAGAGCAACTCCATCTATGTCGTGGCAAATATTGGGGACAAGAAGCCATGCAGTGCCAGTGACCCTCAGTGTCCCCCTGACGGTCGTTACCAATACAACACTGATGTGGTGTTCGATTCTGAGGGAAGGCTGGTGGCACGCTACCATAAGGTAGAGTTCATTTACAAGTCATTCACCTGCTGAAGGCTTAACAAAATTAAGTGGACAAGAAGAAGAAAAATCTCTATTGTTGATAATAATAAGTGTATTTTAAAAGCAGAGTAGAGACAAAGAACAGAAAGTAATGATTAGGTGTGGTAAGGTACTATGTAAAGGTCCTAGAAAAAGGAGGTTTTTTGTACATTTAAGAATGCAAGAGTTTGTCATTAAGAGTGTATGAAAATCGGTAGGAGCTACTTGCATTGAAAGCATTGAAATAAAATGTTGCCTTCTGGACTCTGTCCTTCTCATGCCCTGGAAAAGGGTCAAGGCTAGAATGAAAAACTTCTCACCAGGTAGACTTGGTTTTAAAAACAAAGGAACAAAGAAAGTTCTTTTCTACAGAAAATAGTTATGTGTTCTTGGCAAAGAGAAGTTACCTCTTTCATTCTTATGTCTTTAATATTCAAGGTCTTAATAGATAAAGACTTCCTTGTACATATCTATCAAATGTGGAAATTGAACCAAAGGCTTCTATTATCATAGTAGTCTCTGATTCTCTAACACTTTTTCCTTGTGGAGACAGTGATTGTAGATGACATTGGCACTGTTTAATAGATGTGAGCTTGCACTTTTTCAGATGCAGTGACATCCAGGCCAACTTCTTAAAAGAGATTTTCCCCTCGTCATCTTCTGTTTGTTGCAGCAAAACCTTTTCTTGACTGAAAGTCATTTCAATGCACCCAAGGAGCCTGAGGTTGTGACTTTCAACACCACCTTTGGAAAGTTTGGCATTTTCACGTGCTTTGATATACTCTTCCATGATCCTGCTGTGACTCTGGTGAAGGATTTCCACGTGGACACCATACTCTTCCCAACAGCGTGGATGAATGTTTTGCCACATTTGTCAGCTATTGAATTCCACTCAGCCTGGGCTGTGGGCATGGGAGTCAATTTCCTTGCAGCCAATCTACATTATCGCATAACGAAAATGACAGGTAATGTATAATCTTTAAGATTTACCAACTTGATGTAATCAAAGGGGGAAAATCATTCTTTCTAGCTAACACGTACTCCTTAATACAGTGTTTCCAACTCTTAATTTTTTTGCATATCTGGCTGGTGACATGCTGTAAAATTAATCTCAACCAAAATTGTTTCCTAAATCTACTTAGTTTTATTCAACTTGAACGTATATTCTTTTTTTTTTTTCAAACTTCACCACTTCTTATGTGAAGCTCTCTCTTCTTGGCTTCTTGGTGTCATACTCTACTGGATTTCATCTCATCTGTCTGTCTTTATCAACATACTTTCCTGAAATTAATACAGTATATAGATTATAGGAAGTAAAATGTTAATATGAATTCAGAATAACAGTAACAACTATGCAATTCCTTTTTACCTTACTATTTTAAATGTCATTTCCAAATTGTCACTTCCAGGAAGTGGCATCTATGCACCTGATTCTCCAAAAGCATTTCATTATGATATGAAGACAGAGGAAGGAAAACTCCTCCTCTCGCACCTGGACGCCCACCCACGCCCCAGAGCAGCGGTGAACTGGACTTCTTATGCCAGTGGGATAGAAGCACCCTCAGTGGGAAACGGGGAATTTAACAGCACTGTTTTCTTTGACGAGTACACTTTCTTGGAGCTCAAAGGAATCACAGGAAATTACACGGTTTGTCAGAAAGACCTCTGCTGTCATCTCAGTTATCAGATGTCTGAGAAGAGATCAGACGAAGTTTATGCACTAGGGGCATTTGATGGACTACACACTGTCGAAGGGAGCTATTATTTACAGGTAATGCTTGTCTTGGTGGCAAGGGAATTACCGGATAAAACGCAGGACACCCAGTTAAATCTGAATCTCAGATAAACAATGAGTTATTTTTATTGTAAGTATATCCCACTTTGGGAGATACGTGTATACTAAAAAATTTGTTGTTATTCAAAATTCAAATTTAGTTTGGTATCTTGAATTTTTATTTGCTAAAACTTGCAATCGTGGATGTCAATGCAGTCTTAAACTGGTTGGAAAAAGGCAGAACATTTATTTGTAGTACCAATGTTTAAAATGCTGTATATATATTTATTGATGTAGAGTAGATTTACAATGTTGTGTTAGTCTCTGGTGTACAGCATAGTGATTCAGTTATACATACACAGATATTTCATATTCTTTCTTATTATAGGTTAGAAAATGCTGTATTAATCAAATTACAGATGATTTTAATGACTAATTAACTTTAATATTTCCTACCTGAACAAATTAAGCCATTTCTCTTTCGTGTTCACTGACGCCTACCTTGTTCTAGAAGAAGCTTCGCACTAAGTGTGTCCTGGAGACATACAGGGTTGAGCTCTGAGAGGCACAGTGGAATAGCTGCAAAGACTCAGACATCTCACAGCCCTCAACACAGAGGAGGGGCTATTGGAGCTGGCGGAGATGGAACCCCTAAGACAAGCAGCCTCCATGCCCCTCTCACTCTACTCTCCTTTCCTTGACCTGCCCCCGTCCTGTTTCGCCCAGATTGTCGCAGTATCCTCCTAACAGGGCTTCCTGTTGGCGGTTGCAGCTCCATCCAGTCCAGCCCCTACACTGTTATTATGAAAACCATGGAAAGCCTTTTCTGACTATTTCTCTCTCTTGCTTTAAATTCCTCACTGTTTTCTAATTGGCAAATCAGATTTCTCAACATAAAAGACTCATGAAGTCTTGGCATGTGCCTTTTCCTACTCTGTATCCTCTTCTCTCACTTCTACCCACACGTGCCCTGGGCTCCTGTCTTACTGAGACATTTCCCATCTGCAGTGAGCCAGCGTCTGTAGAACCTTCAGATGTTTGCACAGGCTAGGTTTTGGACTTTTTTTTTCTTTAAATCTCTGATGGCCCCCAGCTACTCATCATTCATAGTGCTTTTCAGGTATTATCTTCACCAAGAAGGCTTCCCTGACACTCCCAGCTCACCCCAGCAGCACTCCCAGTCCCCAGCTGGGTTAGGTACCTCTTTTATATACTCCCAGGCGTCCTATGCTTAACATTATCCAAGATATGTCATGTCAAATTATGTACGTACTTGTTTGAGACGGAAAGCATTTTGAGTGCTGGAACCATGACCACTGGGTGACGTTTTGTTTGCTGGATGATAAGCACTCTACCAATGCTGGTTCATTTTGGCAAAGATTTATCAAGTGCCTACTACATACCAGGTATATATTCAGTGCTAATGATATGAAGATGAAGAAGTATAGACCCTCTCCTTTAGGAATTTTACTAAGATATATGAGCATAATTTCAGTATAGGTTGGTGTGGGATGGACCAAAAAAATGCACATTTTGCTGGAGGAATACTAAGGAGCTGCACTTAGACAATTTGGAGACTCAGGGAAGTTTTGGGAGACAGGATGGATGAGCTTATGCTATTTTATCCAGGATAAAAAAAGTGGGAGGGAATTCTAGGTGTAGTGAAGAGTAAGAGCAAGGCTGTAGATGTGTCAAAAAGCAGAGTATGCAGTGACGAGCCTGCAGTTCAGTGTCACTAAAGCATAGCAGAGGAAGCAAGGATGGCTGGAAGACGAGCGTAGGGGCAGGATCATATCCTGCAGGATCTTATCTGTCATTCTCAAGATTTGGGCTTTATTCTATCAGTGATGGTTTTCTCTTGGAAGGTGTTCAGGAAGAGAACAAAGTGATCACATGCCTTTTTGACAGCATTTAGAGAGTCAAGTGGGGGAAATGGCCATGCAGGGTGGAGGGAGATGGTCTTACTATTCCATATGATTCATTCAAGGAATCCCCTTCAACTATGTCTTTCAAAACCTCTATCTAAACATCGTCCATTTTACCCTCTCTGGAAATATATGTTTCATCTTTTACTGGAACAGGGGAAGGGCAGTTGCTTATCCACGGCGAAGGACTCGTATCTGAGGCATTCTTAACAACTTCCCACCAATTTTCCTTTCTTTAAGCATCCTGATTTACTACCAGCTCCTGAGGTACCTAGTTCTCCTAGGAATGGAATCTGAGTATTCTGCAGTGTAGATAAGTTGATTATTGCCTTTCCCCACTGCTCTTTCAGAACTTGGCTTTCTTAGATCTGCTAAATCAGTTACCATTTTTAAAAACTGCACTATAGCTGATTTACAATACTGTGATAGTTTCAGGTGTACAGCATAGTGATTAAGTATTTTGCAAATTATATTCCATTATAGGTTATTACAAGATAATGGGTATAATTCGCCTTGCTAAACAGTGTAATCCTTGTTGCTTATCTATTTTACAGTAGTTTGTATTTGTTAATCCCATACTCCTAATTTGTCCCTCCCCACATCCCTCTTCCCTTTGGTAACCACAAGTGTGTTTTCTATATCTGTGAGTCTGTTTTTTCTATACACTCATTTGTATGATTTTTTAGATTCCCCGTAAGTGGTATCATATATCACATTGTGTTTCTCTGTCTGAGTTACTTCACTAAGCATAACGTTCTCTAGGTCCATTCACGTTGCTGCAAATGGTAGTAGTTCACTCTTTCCTTATGATAGAGTGATGTTCCATTGTATATATACCACATCTTCTTTTAAAGCTTTTTTTTTTAATTTTAATTTTTTATTGAATGGAAGATTCTTTAAATTCTGTAGTGCTTTACAATTTTTAAAAGTTCCACACACAATTTCATATTATCCTATAATAACCCTTTTTCTCCCTACAGTTTGTTCTCTATATCTGTGAGTCTGCTTCTTTTTTGTTTTATTCACTAATTTGTTGCATTTTTTTAGATTCTATATAATATATATCACATTTTCTCAATTCAGTCATCTATTGATAGGCACCTGGGCTGCTTCCCCAGTTACCATTTTTGCATCAACACCCCAACTTCAAAAATTGTGCCATGGTCTATTTTCCTGTTCTCCTATCTTTGTGGGCTCAGATCTTTTAAAAAAAATATTGGTTTTAGTAGGATTTCAAGGGGAACAAAATAGAAGTATGTGTTCATCCTACCTTTACCTGAAAGTTATTTGTATCCAGTCTTAACACACCCTAAAATACTTGCGCTCCAACTTCACAAGCGGGAGCAGGGAGACCAGTTAGGGGTTATTGCTTTAGTCAGGCAAGAACTGAAGGTGGCTTGGAGTAAGGTTTTGTAGATGCAGTGAGGGTGGAGTTGAATGAATATTCACCTTCCTTTGGGGGACTTTGCATCTGCCTGGTGGGATGATTCATACACTTAGACTTCCATTCAAATAGCGGTGTAGTGCAGTGTAGATAGATAACCATGTAGCGTGAGCAGAACTGTTCCAGCTCTTGCTCAGATTTAAGGTGCGTGACTTTTCCAGCTCACAGAGGTTGTCTCTAGCTCCACTCCAGGGTTCACTACAACTTTAAAGTTCTTTCATTGTTAGAAACAGGCACTTAGATAGAAATTAAACCAATATCTACATTAAGCCTTTTTTTTAAGTAATTGAACACTATTGATTATTAACTTGAAAACAATGAGGATATAATTGTGGCTATAGACCAAGAATCTGATTGTTTCTTTATGTGATTTAATCTGTTTACAGTGAATTGCGGAAAGCACTTGGGTCTGAAGGCCTTTAATTTTATTCCTAGTTGCAATAGCTATTCATAATGAACTGGATTAATCTAATGGGAAGTGACATTATATCAAACATTATAAACAAAGGGGCACAGGCATTCTTTTCCAGGTGAAGGGAGTGTTTCAAATGGCTTTCCTAAGACTTGTTGTTTTGTTTTAATGTTCCTAGATTTGCACTCTGTTGAAGTGTAGGACGATGGATTTACACACTTGTGGTGAATCAGTTGAAACCGCTTCCACCAGGTTTGAAATGTTCTCCCTCAGCGGCACTTTTGGCACCCAGTATGTCTTCCCAGAGGTGTTGCTGAGTGAAGTTCAGCTTGCACCTGGAGAATTTCAGGTACAATTCTTAGCTTAATGTTGCCAACTCATTTTATGTGAGAAGAAGCACCTTTTGAATAGAGAACCTGCCCAAGTGCTTACAAATGCCATGAAAATCTTCATCTGGAGAGGCTAAAAGTGTCCTTAGGGCTCACCCAGGACACAGAGCGAGCTGACTCTCTTGTCTGGACATCTTTTAGATGATGATTAGCGTGTCCTTGAGAATAAAGAAATATATCTGATTGTGGGCACTAGGGGCAGCAGGCTGGGCTGTTTAAAGTCCATCAAGTAGAGAAAAGACTCAAGAAGGGTTTTCAGGACCCATCCAGCCAGAGGCAGCCCTTTTGTATCACTGGGAAGGGATGGCCTAAGGAATTTGAAAGGAATTCTCATGGTGTGAGAGATGGCCCTGCATGACCATAGGAGAATAAGAAAGAAGAAAAAGCTGAAGGAGAGAGAAGCTGACAGTGACTGAATTGGCAGGAAAGTAAAACCTTTTTTTTTAAATACGTAGGAAAATCTATTATTGCACAAGTGTTCTGCCTAGTCGCATTCTCCTACTGACTTTTCCTGCAGGTTCTGCTCTCATCCCCTTTCCTGGGAGAAACAGTTGCTGTGGGGAGTCGGGGACAATGGGGATCTTGGGAGGCTGTGGTGTAAAGAATGAGAGAGGCTCAGCTCAAACCCCCTTGGTCAATCCCTTCTGACCATTTGGAGGAATCTTTGTTTTGTTGAGATTCTCTCTTATTTATTCTCACATCCAAGAACAAGTTTCTCTCTTATTTATTCTCAAAGCCATTGTTTTATGTTTATTAACTGTGGGATGCATTCTCAGATAAGTAAGTTATCGGGTATAGATTACAGGCATTTCAGTAAATGAACCAGTGCCAATTCCATAGCTCCAATCTTTCTTGTGCTCTGCACAATCTCATATATTTCAGATGGAACAGAATCTGGCCATCCTTTTTATTGTTTCTTCATCCAGTTGTACTGAATTTAAGAATGTGTTATGGGTCTATATAACTGAAAGTTATTCCCAGTCCACTTCCCTGTGTTTTAATTAGGTGTCAAGTGATGGACGTTTGTTCAGCCTGAAGCCACTGTCTGGACCTGTCTTGACAGTAACTCTGTTTGGAAGGTTGTATGAGAAGGATCCTGTACCAAATGCTTCATCAGACTTCACAGTACAAGCACCGAGAGTAATGTTCATAGTTATAACGTCTATTGTGTACTTGTTAAGTTGATAGAATATTTACCTTTTCTCTCTTACACTTTGGAGCATTTGAAAAATGATGGATGTGAAAAGAAGAATGGGTCTGGGGGTTTTGGTAATAATGGCTGTGGTCTATCATATAAGTGAACTACTAATCTATTTTTCTCTTTATTTAGACACACACACACACACACACACACACACACCGGACAATATAAGCCAGGTAAATAGTGACAAATTTTTGAAAGGTTTTTTTTGGTGAGAATTACACATTACTACATTTAAAATAGGAGACAAGTTCTGGCTCATGGGAAGCACTGTATATGTGTTAGCTACTACAATGATGTATGACTATTACAGTAAAACCAATTGTGATGTATTTATTGCTAAAATTTTATCAACTCTGATTGTTCAAAGTGCACATATTTTCCAATGGTCACTCACCCTGCATATTTCAATTAGAAAAGCAATGATACTCAACATCAGCCTGCTGAGTGTGGCTTGATATCTAGCACTGTGTCCAGAAGGCAGCTGGGTTTACAGCTAGGAATCTGCTCAAAAGCCTTAATGTTGTCTGTGTGATTTTCAGTGGAGATTTACTGCCTGTTTAGTGCTTTGCTTATCTTGTTAGCCTCTAAGCAAATTAATAGGGTGGTTCTAAAATAGACATTTACTAAATCTGGCCTGTTATTTGTTTTTGTATGATCTGTGAGCTAGGAAAGTTTCTTATGTTTCTAAATGTTTAAAGAAGAAAATCAAAAGGAGAATAATATTTTGTGACACTTGAAAATTATTTGAAATTCAGATTTTAGTTTTCATACTGGGAGTTTTATTGAACACAGCCATATTCATTTGTTTAGTACTGTTGATGGTTGTTTTCATTCTACAATTGTGGAACCGAATAGTTGTGATATAGAGCGTGTGGCCAAAAAAGCAGAAAATATTTGCTACCTTTACAGAAAGTGGTTGTTGATTCATGCTCTAAAGTATTAAGTAACAACAGATTATAGTATTGAAAATTTTTACTACGAATCAATGTCCTGGAGTCTTTCTTATAATCCTTTCACCTAAAGATAAATAAAATATTTTTATTTGCTTTCTATTATATTAACATCACAAAAAAGATTACATTGATTAACTTATGATCAAATATGCCTCATAGGCTAGTATCTCACACAAGTGGATATAATTTTTGTAAGCATGATTGATACCTAATTATTATAAGATACCATATCATAAAGTCTTTTGCTATATTTGGTATGTTCTACAATTTCTGAGAGAAATTATATTAGGTTTTATTTTCAAATTTTTCCTGCTGAGCAGTTAAGAACTTCTTATATGAATATACCATCTGATACTTCTTCCTATGACAAATTTGCTAGCTTGTCCTAGAATGATTTTTCTTAAAACTTAACATTGCAGGAGTGAATTTACTGTTTAAAAATTATGCTTGCTGCATTCATACCTAGCTCTGACTGATTTTTTTCACTCTGGATTTCTTTAATGTGTGTATGCGTATTTGTGATAGTTTTGTTGTGCTTTTCAAATATAATTTTAAATGTATTCTACATAAAACATTTGTGATGCTCATTTGATACAAATAACCAGATTTAAAGGAAGGCCAATGTGATGTATCAGTGATAGGCTTAAAATATTAAAGGAGTCAAACAACCCTAAATGCACCTTTTCCGTTTGATCTTGACAAATATGTTGGTAATCCATTGTGACCTAAGTTATCAATTGTGACATAGCAAATTACCCCTAAATTCATAGCTTAAAATAATAAACACTATCTTATGCAGTTTCTGAAAGCAAGGATTATTTCAGGAATTGACACTGCTAAGGAAAAGGGTCTTAAAAACATCAACATATTTTCTTAATTGGCTGATTTTTTAATCATCAGGGTTTTTCCCCCAGTAATCTACAAAAATATATATTGAAAAAGTGGAAAAAATCCACTTAAATAATTGAAGTGTTTTGGATATCAAGAAGAATGTGGAAAAAATCAACTAGAAGTCATATGAATGTCAAAAGCTGTTTTGAAATATGTCATTTGACTCATACTGAGAATAACTGATCATTCCTCACGTTTCCTCTGAGTCTCTGTCCTGTGGATATTCTGAGCATGTTCCAAATGCATTCTGTTTTTTTAAAAAAACAGTTTTTAGAGGGGGAGAATATCTCACATCCACTAATAATACTTAGACAGCATGTTCTCATATACAGTAGGATTAGTGATGTAGGCACAGATAGTGCCAAACCAAGTCTGTGTTCTAATAGTTCTATTCATTCCTAGCTGGGGTTGGCATAATTCAAGTGAAATGTAGTAGATGAAAACAGTAAGTAAGGATGAGACATAGTAAATCTAAATAGCACTTTAAATATGAAGACATCACCAAAACTTAAAATATGAGGAAAACAATCTGTATGTTAATAATGCAGCAGAGTAGTCCATTATTTTGTGGACTTTTTTTTTTTAACTGTGGTAACTTAGAGATTAAACAAACAAGAGCTTGTGAGAGAAGTGGCTAGGCAGGTGTACTGACCCTGGCTGATTAACAACAAGGGAAAGGACGTGCCCAGCTGATGAAAAGGCAGGACATTTCTCTTACCCCACAGCTGGCTCCTTAAAATCCAAGGACATAACCCAGTATCTCTTCCTTGGTTCCCGCTGAAGTTTCTACTAATTGCTTTTTGTTTCAGGGCTGAGCTCTGAGGGAGGAAGGAGTCTGTAGCAGAAAATAACAAACACCACCACGGAACAAAGACAACAATGGTAGAACCTTCTAACAAAAGACCTCACGAGCTGTCCTGTCCCTGTGGGCTGTCCTGGCTGACGGCTCTGTTCCAGCGCTTCCTTTCCTCGCTCCAGTGCCTTTTCTTCCCTTCCCTCTGCTCGAGCACTTTCCTTCCATTTCCCCTTCTGAGCAATAAAGCGGCTGTTCACTTGTTCACTTGTCCCTCTGCCTCTGCTGCATGACTTCTTTCACGGCCGGCAGCGAGGACCCACACTTTGGTGGGCTTCCTAATTTAGGGGCCCCTCCACCTGTGAACACTTGTACTCTTGAAAATTGAGATCTGCTATTTCACCAAAATTGTTCTCAGCAAATCCAAAGACAACAGCATGGAAAAGTGAATAAGATCTAACATGAAACCACACGGAAAGGGAAGGAGTAAAGAATAAAGCAGAAGAGGAAAACCATGAGAGTTCGTCAACACACACACACACACACACACACACACACACACACACACACACGAGCACACCCTAATGACCACCCACACAGGCCAAAGCATGTATGGGGGCATGTAGTCAGACACAGGCCCAGATTAAAATGAGGCAGCTGTGTCTGTACTTCTAGGCGAGTGCGTATGACAGAAAGGTTGGTTTGGGTTTGGTGCTTTCAGACAGGAGACAAATTATGCACCTCTTCAAAAACCAACCCCCACAAAATGCCATTCTACAGGGAAATGTGCCTGGCTTGCACTTGGAGGGCTGAGTTCTCATTCTCAACAATCTCTTTCTCCTTCAGCCTCCAGGCCTCTAGGGTGCACTTGGCTGCTCTTTTACTCTTTCTACGTGCAGCTCAGTACTTGTTAAATTTCAGTGGCCAAGGATGAAGGCTTTGGGAGCTATCCTAATTGTGGGCTGTGGTTTAAGTTCAAACTTAGAGTACTTGGGTTTACTATAGTCAAACATTTCCTGGGCAGGGATGTTGGAGAAAGCAAGATCTCCCCAGTATGGTTCATACCCCACCGGCACATGAATGGTGTCAGGATCAGTGGGACTTCATGCCCTGTGGTTTGCTGCCAATAGCTGACCTGGAGTGATGAGATTCTTCACGCAATTTTGAAACTTCATGCTGGGTGAATAGAGCCCAGATTCAAGACCAGGATAGAAGGGCCAGCTGAATAGCTACCTACAGCTCCAGAATGTGGAGGCCATGGTCGTGATGACACAGTTTTTACATTCTAACCATCATAAAACACTGACTGGGGAAACAATGGACTGTCACTCTCTTCACCCAACTCTTTGTCTTTTTCTTTATTCCTTACTAAAGGTATCTTTGTCATGAGAGGAGAGCTCCTTCAATGGCTTCCTCAACAGAGATTTGGGAAGCTAGTAGAGATGGGAGAGAGGGATTAATGTGGGTTTGAGGTGGGTATACTTTCTTCAATTCACTCAATTTTTTTTTCTCATGAAAACCCCAAACTTCTCAAAATGTTGTTATAGTTTTTCCTTCTTCCTTTGCTAATAGTGTTCACTTTCAAGTTGGTGGAGAAGACAGGGAAGGGTATAAGTTCCTTAGATCTCTGTATATATCTGTATAAAAAATTAGAAGAAGCAAAAACATAAACAAAACAGAACTTCCAGAATCCAAGGATAGTCAGGCCAAAGGGTTCATGGTCTGCTCACTGAAGTAAGGATGTTCCTACTTGTCTTGAACCTCTGGGCTCACAAAAAATTCAAAATTGCAAAAAAAGAAAGGAAAAAAATTAAATAGTTGCAAAATGCAGAAATACCTCTTCAGGATTGCATGACTCTCTCACCCTTATTTCCTGGAGCCTGGGAAAACCCACCCCTCACACCCTTGAAGAAGGGTCACTATTTTCCAGCCCTTGACAGCTCTTTAGCGTCCTACTTAGTGCATTGGGACATCCATGTGTAGTGGCACCAACAAGAGTTGTGTTTATTTTTAAGATATTTCAATTGTATTTTATTTCTGCTGGGGTATAATAATAATGAGCACTTTCAACTATGAACTATTAAAAGCTAAACTGAGGCATAGTAAACATTTTAAGAGTTTATTTGAGCAAAAATGGATTTGAATGGGGCAGCACCAAATCAGAAGTGGTTAAGAGGGCTCCACTAACTGGAGCTAGAGGCTAGACTTTTATAGAGAAGATGCAGAAGCAAAGCAAGAAATTAATTGATTGCCAATAGCTTCAGTGGCTGCCTTATTTGGGAAAGCCAAGTTGGCTCTTTGTGATTGATTGTTCTTAGGTTTCAGTTTCTTAACTTTGAGGCATTTGCAGGCTTAGGTTTTGATTTGCTCACATAGGTTGCTAAGGTATCAGAACCATCTAAGTCTAATGACTTTCTTGTTTAATTAACTACTGAAAACAGGCACTTTCTCACATGAAATAATCCTTTATGCAGGCATTATTGCCTTCATTGTAAAAAGACAGCACTGAGGATTAAAGAGGCCAAGATATATATTCAAAGTCAACCAAAAAAAAAGTAGTTAAGATGGGATAAATAACCTGCTCCTTTTACCCCAAATGCATGTATAGTTGGTTCTCCATATCTGTAGGTTGCAGATTTGGATTCAACCAAGTGCAAAAAATTTGAAAGAAAAAAATTCCAGAAAATTCCAAAAAGCAAAATTTGAATTTGCCATGCACTGACAACTATTTTCATATCATTTACATTGTATTAGATACTGTAAGTAATCTAGAGATGATTTAAAGTATACAGAAGGATGCATATAGGTTAAAAGAAAATACACCACTTTATATAAGGGACTTGAACATTTGAGAATTTTGGTATCCACAGGGGGTCCTGAAATTAATCCTCCTTGGGTACTGAGGGATGACTGTACTCTTCCACCATGGTATACTTTCTCTTTAGAATGTGTATTAGTCAGGATAGGCCAGGTAATGGTGCAGTAATAGATAATACCAACATTCCCATGGCTTAAAACAGAAGTTTATTTCTTATTCAATTCAGAGTCTATTCTAGGGCTATATTATAGCTCAGAACTCCAGGCTTTTTTCATCTTGTGGCACCTCTATAATTTCTGGAGCATGAGAAAAGGCTACGGAGAAATTGCATACTGACATTTATTTATTTATTTATTTATTTATTTTACTATTTTCTTTTTTATTGAAGTATAGTTGATTTACAATGTTGTGTCAGTTTCTGGTGTACAGCATTATGATTCAGTTATACATTTATATTCTTTATTTTATTTTATTTTACTTCATTTTATTTTATTTTATTTTATGAGTTATAGTCAGTCATACTGACTTTTAAATGCTTTCATCCAGAGTGATACAGAGCATTTCCACTAATATTTTGTTGGCCAAAGAAACTCACATGGTCATGCCAAATTTAGATAAGTAGGGATGGTCATCCCCCTGTGTGTCCAAGAAAGGAAGAGATTCAAAAATATTGGCTAGCATTAGCAATGTCTGTCATTGAATGTAAGTTCCTCAAAGGCATGTATCTTACATTATTTTTCAATTTTTGAATATAGAAATAACTCAATAAATGATCAATGTCTGCCAGGAGTCACCAGGGCTATTTATCCTTCCTTTATTCTCTAACTTATAGTTACATTATACTCCTTGCCTCTTGCCCCATTAATTTGTTGTCAGTACCACATACCTGCTAATTGCAAGCCAATACTAACAGTTGCTCGAACTATCCCTGCCCTTTTCATTGATCTGAAGACAACTGTACCTGTATCTTCTTGCTAGGAGTATGTAAAGGCATCATTGATGTTTTGTGTGTAGCATTTTATAGTTTACAAAACACTTAAACATATATTTTCCTTTATTTCACAAAGTAGGCACATTTTTCTCCATTTTACCTTAGACAGTAAAGTGTCATGTTCAAATCTCCTAACTTATGTGTATCAGATCTGTGGCTTCATGAGGAATTCAGTGCTAATGCTGTTTGATTGAAGTACTGGACACTGATTTTTTTCACTCACTGATTATTAAGGCTAAATTTTAATTGCATCCTTTCCTTTATAAGATCAATCACATTCCTCATTGTCAATCTTGTAACTTTAATAGCCATAGACTTTGATAGAATGCAGGATGAAGGTAAGTACACAATTAATATTAAATATATACACACACCCTGAAGAAAGATTGAACTTAGGTGATCATATTTGTTGATGTGGCATGGAGAACATGAATTTTCCTTAAGACATTGAGAGAAGACTGTCAACATAAAGAGTGGGAACTTTTCAGACTTGGGAGGTAAGTTTAGAAGGAACAATGATAATGTGTTAATTGTGAGCTCCTTTGATCTTTCTATTTTGAAACCAGTTCCGCCTGGTGGTGCAGCCACAGAAATACACCAAGAGCTCTTATCAGTGTTAATAGTTATTTAGCCATCAATACCTTCTAGAAGCTTTGAACTGTTGCCAAAGTAAATAAGGCCCACCTGTCAGCACAGTGGTAGATTACCTCATAAATAGTTAATGTTTAGACAATGTGCTTTGTTGGATAGGTTGATTGGATAAACTCTCAATTGATTTATGAAAATATTAGTATCACAAAGTACTGTTTTGACAGATTATGATGTTGATTTAACTGAAATTGTGAACTACCTGACTTCTTTTCTTCCTGTCTATGATGAAATTTCATCTTGCTCTATCAAAGACAACTCACTGAGGGTTTATTTGTTATCTCAGTATGAGTAAAAAATAATTTAAAAGCCTGACATTGTGTGTACCTAGTCTTAGGAAATTAGTTGTTGTAGAGCTTGATTATAGAAGCATTATAGCAAGAAAATAAAATCTGTTAGCCTGAAAATATTTATAATTCAATTTTAACTGGAAATAACAATGTGAAAGTTATCTTCAGATACTGCTGATAAAAATATACTATAATAATTTTAGTATTAATTTTAATAGTAATAATTTTTAAGAAAATTATAAACACTATTTTGAAACTGTGCTGAAATTACTATGAGTATGTTATTATCTCACCTGCCTAGCTTCTAATTAATAAGATTCCCCTGACCATCCACCCATAGACGGATGTTAAGTGAAGTTCTCAAGAGTGTAGTTATCTCAGTTTTCCCTAGCTAGCTGTTTGGAGGGTCTGTGGGAGAAACAGAGAAGAAAATTCTTCACTGAAACTCCACCCTTTCTAAATTCTTGGTAGTAGTTAGGAGCTGGAACTCTGGAGTCAGGCAAATTTGGAATCAAACTCCACTGCT